AAAAGTGGCCAGAAAGAAAATAAAGACACAACATCATAGCAATACAACTTGTAACCCTTTCAGTCATCAACAGAAAGTTCTCTCTATAATTCCCCTTTAAGGAACCAAATTATGGTTATTAGCCCTCACAGCCCAAGTCAAATATTGAATCTATTTTAATTATCCTTTCTTGAAGAAATTGCTTTAACTGTCTTAAACTGGATATATTCTTTTTTTTTTTAATCCTCACCAGAAAACATTTTTGCATTTATCTTCAGATAGAGCAGGTGGGAGGGAGAGTGGGAGGAAGAGAGAGAGAGAAACATCGATGTGAGAGAGACACATCGAGTGGTCGCCACCCACACGACCCCAACCGAGGCCAGTGACAAACTGCAACTGAGGTACGTGCCCTTAGCGGGAACCAAACCTGGGTCTCTCTGGTCCATAGGCCGATGCTCTAACCGCTGAGCCAAACTGGCCAGGGCTAAACTGGATCTATTCTTATAAACCCTTCTTGTGTCTGCCCGCAAACTTTGTCAATTTTTCTATCCAGAGGAAACAACCAGTGTCTGTCTAGCAATAAACAGTGACCAATAAAAAAGGGAAGCCAGGGCTGGTTTAACCTGCCATAGACGTGGGCAATGGAACTGGTGGGCAGCCCAGTGGATCACAAGATTAACCGTATAAAGAACACTTTCCCAAGGGTAGGAAGGACCAGGTTTAGGGCCTGGCTCTCCGTGAACAGCTGTGTTCCTCAGGAAGCCACATAAACTTTCTCAGTGCAGAATAACCAGGCGTCTGAGGTGGCCAGACGCACGTAATCCCGGGGGCCCGCCAGTGCAACTTGGGGCTGAGACAAGCACAAGAATTTATCTGAAGTCTCCTACTTCACCTTAAAAATTGAACTGGATTTTGTATTCTACCTGCTTCCTGACATAACATTTTTAAAAATTTGGGAATATTTTAAAGTAATGACTGTTTATTATAATTGCATCCCTGGGAATAGGAGTCAGGGTGAAACCTTGGATTCATATCCCGCTCCCCCCTCACGGCTGGACCCTCCCGGGACGCTGTGGGGCGCAGAAGTGGAGGGGCCGTGGCCACTCCCACAGAGCACACGCTCAAGAAGTCACTTCTCCACATTCTTTCAGCTAACAGGTTGTTCTGATGCTGAGCTATGCTAGTAAACGAGAAGGCAGTGTGAAAACAAGGGCCTGTCAGGCTGCTGTCACAGGATCAGAGACAGCAGGTGCCATCCCAGGAACACTCAAAAGGGGCGTCTTTCTCTGTGCTCCAAGGCACAGGCTCCAGAATTCGATTTCCTTCCTGCCTCTATCTCAGTTTCAAACCCAGGCTACTTACATGGTCCCCAACTTCCCTTCTTATTTCCCAGGTGATAAGAGTAACCTTTCCCCCAGGACATTCACATTTTTGTCTATTCTGTTCAGTGGTAGACTCCCTAGCACACAGTAGGACCTCTGGGCGTGTTTATTTAATACACGAATGTGTTCCAGTGAGGTGTCTAGTGGTAAATGGACAAGCATATCATGAGACATTTCAGACTGAATCCAAAATAACCACCAGAGGAAGGAAATCACCTACGTGGCCATTTGACCACAACCTAACTGTGGTTTGAATGTGACTCTACACTCCCGTGTGACAAGCTTCTGAAAAGCAATCAGGAAGGTGCCCGCCACAGGGGCTGGAAGGATTTCCCAGGCACAGCTCTCAGTTCTCCCATATTTATTTCTGCTCACTTGATGTGCACCTCTCCCTTGTCACCTAGTACAACATGTTTATTTAAGAGATAATGTTGCCGCGGAGGAGAGCACAAGGCAATAAACAGCTTTTGCAGGCAATTAAATGCAGAAGTGAATCTGAGCCGCTGGTCAGTGGAACCAGCCATTCATCGTGAGTTTGTGCCCGTGTCACAATGTTATTCCTGTTTCACAACAGGACTGGAATCTGTGACTGGGCCACAGATCTCTACAGGCTGGACACAGACCTAAAGTGACAACAGCATGCAGTATGCAGGCATGAACAAGAAAGAGCCTGAGGATTCTGTTGTTTATCCCATTGATAGAAATTATTCCATATACATTCATACATGGTCCACATTCACATGTCACAGTCCCTTAATAACTAAAATGTGCATTATGTATGCCGTGCCTTGTTACAGAGACAGTCTGAGGTAGACAATGAAAAGAGGCTAAAAATGAAAAGAGATTAAGATCAGGGCCAAGTAAAAATAATGATTAATGAAATGAGTTCACTACCATTAATATGGCATGTCACTTGGTATACAGGGAAACTTCCTGTCTAAGTAATCATGTCACTTCCATTACTACACGCCTCATGTATCAATCAGCCCTCTGAGTCTCAATGTCCTCATCTGTAAAAAGGAGACAACACCATCGGCCTACTAGGGGTATGGGGAGGAGTCCCTGCTCAATAAACGATCACCATCACTACTAGTGTTATTACTTGCTAATAGGAATGGGCACCAATCACAGCAGCAGAGAAGGACCTATTTCTCCAAAGTAATTTGTTCAATGAGAATATATTATCAATGATGACTGGCTAGGACATAGAAAGGCTTAAGCCCAGCCCTCTGGGAAAACAAACTCATAGGTTAAATGATACCTCAGTATCTCTCCTGGGCCTCAGACCATTGACAGCTCTCTCCAGTCTCGTAATGGGTGGTTCTGGAGAAGGCATAAGCTGCATCAACTGTGCACACCCCACAAGACTAGGAACGTTTGAGCAAGACTTTTCCTCCCACCACTGCTCGCAGGGGTACAAGAAATGCCCTCAGGGGAATCTTTCCTGGCACAGGGACCAAGGCAGTCCTCCGAGACCAGGCAACACTGCAACTCAAGAGAGCCTGTCTTCTCCTAGCCAGGACCGTGGTAAAAGATCACCAAGGAAATCCAGGACCTCCGGCCTTACAACAATAACAAAGAATAAACATTACTGTGCCGAGCATCATGTGCCATCTGCCACCTGAAAGACTGACAAAGCAGAAGGGTGATTTAGGAGACATCTGACTTTGCTGGAAAGCTCATGGTGAGCGGCCTTTCTCTAGGAAAACGCCTAAGAATTTTCTTTCTCACCCTCCTTCTCATAAGCCAGTGGGTTCAGAGACCCTCCCACTTCATCCCGAAAGCCTGGAAGCAGCCAGGACACCAGGACACTCCCAGGGAATCTGCAGGACAAGCTGGCTGTTTGTTTTTGTAACTACAAGATACTACTTTCTCCTTTCAGAGTGAAGTCTTTTGTAGAAATCAACCTAGAACATGCCCCATATCATAAAATCCAAATGGTACTTTCAAGGGCCAGCGGGGGTCCAGCTTAAAGATCCATAAATCACTGTTCTTCCTTTACACTTACACTGCCCCCCTCAATTTTAAAACCAATGTTGTAAGTACCCTTTTTAAAAAGTATGATTCTAAAAACAAAATGTATGAAATGTGTAGCCCAGGGGATTAATGCTGGCATATTAAAATGCCAAAAATGTCAGATCCCTAAGCATAGTGAGAAAACTCAAAATATGGGTGACTTGAATATTAACACCTTCCCAACACCTAAAAAAAGAAAAATAGAATAGAATTGCTCAAAAACATTCAATTCATGCCCTGGCCGGTTTGGCTCAGCGGTTAGAGCATCGGCCTGCAGTCCAGAGAGACCTGGGTTTGGTTCCCGCTAAGGGCACGTACCTCGGTTGCAGTTTGTCCCAGACCCTGGTTGGGTTGTGTGGGTGGCAGCCACTCGATGTTTCTCTCTCTCTCTTCCTGTCTCTCCCTCCCACTCTATCTGAACGAAAAATGGAAAAATGTCCTCAGGTGAGGATAAAAAAAATTCAACTCACATTTTTTAAAAGTTGGCATATGAATGTCAAATATTTGCTCTGGCTGGTTTTGCTCAATGGTTAGAGCAAGGGTCATGGGTTCAATTCCCAGGCAAAGGCATGTACCTTGGTTGTAAGTTCGATTCCCAGCCCCGGTAGGGTCACGAGAGAGTCAACCAATCAATGATGTTTCTCTCTCACATCGATGTTTCTCTCTCCCCACCCCCCTTCCCACTCTATCTAAAAAATCAATGGAAAAATACCTTCAGGTAAGGATTAACAAAAAAAAGGTCAAAGATTTGCCCTAGACTCCCAAATACAGTCTGCATTGTCTCAGAACCCATGTCCAGCTAAGAAAGCTTGCGTACAGTAAATGCATCCAAAATGAGAACAGTCATCACAGAATCCTAACACCTTACAACTGGCGGCGTTGCGTCCAAGTGCTCGTGTTCACACACATTCCCAGGATGTGGCATCCACCCGCAGATGCTCTCAGTGCCGTGAAACTGCTGAAAAACGGGCATGACGGAAATGGTCGAAACGGAGGGAGTAGAACCGCGCTAGATCAACGCTCCTTCCCTGACAGTGAAATGCTTTGTTTTACCCCAAATATTAAAAGCTCTTGATTGCACACACTATTTTAAATACTTCACTGTATGAAAAACTGACCTCCATTCCCAGCTAAAAACCAACTACATTAGCCCAGCACAATAGCAACCTAATTTGTTGTTGTACCTTTCTTCTGTGCAAACATACAGATTTTAACACTTCTCCCTCCCAGGGTCAAATTCATCAGGAAGATGACTGCCACCCAGAAGACTGCACCCAGCATTTTCTGCTCAAATAAAATGGGGGCAAGATAGGACGAGGCGGGGCCTCATACAGTAAGCTACTTGTGAATTTGACTATGGCCAACTGGGTATTTATGCAAAATGACACTGAAAAATGAGAAAAGTAAAAATTGAAAAAGAAAACAAATATATGCGTATTTCCTTACAATTCCTTGCAGACAACTTCTGGGGTTAAATAACCTTATGTGTAGAGTGGGAAATTCTTTACACGTTTCACATGTGCACAATACACGTGCGCTGTGTTGGGCCTGTGTGTGTGTGTGTGTGTGTGTGTGTGTGTGTGGTTTTCATGTATCCAGTTCACTCTCTGGGTAACATCTTACCTGCCACTGGTTTCCTGTCTGACCAGGTACATAAGGTGCTGGAAGGCTCCGAAGGCTGTTCTTCACCGGGGATCCCCCGAGGGGGTTTCCCATGTCCCCGGAAGAGGCATCGGCGCTCAGTGCCATGGAGTACTGCGGGTAGTTGTACAGATTGTTGTAGTAAGGAAACAGCGACGGCTGATAGAAGCTGCTGTAGTAGGTGGGGTCTGAAACCAGGTCAGGTGTGTTCTCCACGTGCCCTCTGCTGGTGACAGCAGGAATATCCTGGATGACCATGCGTCCATCTAGAAAGAAAAAGACAATGTGGCAATAATCTGGGGGTTCACAAAACTTTACCTCTAAACCTTGGCCACGCATGGTTTAGAGCTGCAGAGCAAGGCACCTGAACATGCCGCATCTCCTGCAACCAAAATGAAGGAGGGTTCCTAAGATTGGCCTCATCCTGGCAGCGCAGATGACAGACTCCTGCAGTTACAAATGGCAAATACCAAACACATTTTAAGGGTCATTTTAATAATATAAAGCCTGATGGTAACTTTTTATCCTAATGTCAAAAAATCAGAGATAAAATCTAGTTAACTTGGCTGTCTGCAACATTCTTACAACAAAGTGAATTATACTTCATTTTAAATAAGGTAATAAAGAAGTTCCCCGTCCTAACTATGGTGGCCACATAGACATGTCAGAAAGTCAAAGTTTAAGCAAACGTTTTCTTCACTTCCTTCCACAGCTTATACCCTGTACTTTGGAAGTCTAGACAATGATTTAACCAGGAGTAGACAAACTTCTTCTGTAAAAGGTCAGTTGGTAACTATTTTAAGCTGTATGGGCACTCAGATGCAGAACAAACAGGTTGTTCCATGGTTGTGTTGCAAGAAAACTTTATTCACAAACAGACAGTGGGCAGCAAGTGGCCCACAGGCTATATAGTTTGCCAGTCCTAGTCTACACTTTAAACTGTGTCAATTCCAATAAACGACCAAATGGACTCCCCTCTAATGGTCATTTATTAAACCCAGTTCAAAGAATTGGTCCAGGTGCCTGAAATGGCTACAAGGTGCCAGAATGCCCTGCCCCACAGGAGTCTACAGTCTAGAAGAAATATGACAGGATTACAAATAACAATAAGTATTATCATACAGGAACACCCATAAACTCACAAAAATTAAAGACGACTTGCAGTCTAGAATGGAATTACAGAGACCGTCATAGGAAAATCCGCATCTGAAGGGTATTGTGCTAAGTGAAATAAGTCCAACAGAGAAAAACAAATACATGATGTCTCTTATATGTGGAATCTAATGAACAAAATAAATGAATAAACAAAACAGAAACAGACGCACAGATACAGAAAACAGACTAACAGTTGTTAAGAGGGAGAGGGGATGGGTGGATGGGTGAAAAAGGTGAAGGGATTAAGCACTACAAGTTGGTAGTTACAGAAGAGCCACAGAGATGTCAATTAAAGCATAGGAAATATAGTCAAAAATCGAGATAAATATATATATGGGGCCAGGTGGGTACCTGAAGCAACGGGAGGACCACTCTGTCAAGTACACGATTTTCTAACCACTTTCTTTACATCTGAAACTAGTACAGTATAATACTGAATGCAAACTGTAATTGAAAAAATTTAAAAATTAATAAATCAATAAAATGAAAAAGAAAAACTGCATCTGAGTTACTCTTTAAAAGAGGAGCAGGAAACAGGGGGAGAGAGAAAGAGAGAGAGAGAGAGAGAGAGAGAAGGAATGAGGAAAGGGCCGTAGAACAAAGACAAGGAAGCAGGAAAATGGAAGGCGGATTTGGGGGTGAAGAGCTGGGTGCCAAAGGAAAAGCGGTCCAGTCTGCCAAGAGGACTGGAGCAGCCGAGGGAAAGCCTCCGTCCAGCGCTCGGGCCTCTCCACAGGTGTGACCACCGAGGATTTCTGAGGACGGAGCGGAGAGGGCGAGAGCTGGGCTCTGGGGTGATTGATCTGACGGCAGTTTGTAAGACAAGTGAACGGGAGAGAGAGCAGAGGCCGGAAGAGCCACCAGGGAGCCACTGAAGTAACCAGGGAGAGACCTAGAAGACTTAAATGTAAGAGAGGGACCTGGGCCTCTCTAAGTAGGAGACAAAACTCAAGAAAACGGAAAGATGCTCTGGCCGGTTTGCTCAGTGGTTAGAGTGTCAGCCCATGGACTGAAGGGTTGAGGATTCAATTCTGGTCAAAGGCACATACCTGGGTTGCAGGTTCAATCCCTGGTCATGGTTGGGGTGCACGTGGGAGGCAACCAATCGATGCGTCTCTCTCACATAGATGTTCTCTCCCCTCCTCCTCCACGCTATCTAAAAATAAATGGAAAAGTATCCTCCTATGAGGATTAACAACCACACAAATAGGATGGGAGGACAGATGGGACACCAGGAATTAAGACTCAGGAGAAGGCAGAGAAATGCAGAGCAGAAGTCCGGGAGAGCAGGAAGCCTGGACGTGGCAGAGAGGGAGGTGGTACGTTCCGCTTCACCAAGGTGCCAGAGGGTCAGGCAGGTGGGAGAGATGGATGAGGGAGAGAAACTCAACACCTGCAGTCGAGGCAGAGGCTGAGGCTGGGAGCTGAGGCCCAGGAGCCACCATGGAGATGCGGGCTGCCCCCAGGGAGAGCAGGAGGGAGCTGTTAGAGAGCAGGGTCCGAGAGGAGAGAGAGCCTGGCTGAAGTCGGGGAGAACTGAGGAGAAACGCAATGTCACAGAGGCCAACTGACATGGCCTGTGGAGGAGGCAGGCTGTGTTGTCAACTGCTGCTACGTGATCATGCAAAACTAGGTCTGGAAAAGACCAGCAGAGGGTTAGGGTTTCAGGGCCTCGTGTTTTTAGCTTAGTAGGAGCAAGAGGGAGAGGAGCAAGTGAGCAGGGAGGAAACAGAAACGATGGTCCTTCTGTCCCACCAGAACGTGAGATCGGTAAGCAGGCACTGCACCTGCCACCCCAGCGCCCTCTGCCTACACACCACTGCCACGTGGTGGTCAGATCTGTGGAAGGGATCAATAAAGAATGGTTTTTCAAGTAGCCTGACATCAAAACAAGTGTGAGGGGAAAACCAGAAGCTCCAGGGAATAATATGTTATTTCACCCTGGCTGGGTAATTCAGTTGGTTAAGAGCATCATCCCAATACACCAAGGTTGTGGGTTCAAATTCCTGGTCAGGGCACATGCAAGACACAACCAATGACATATTCCTCAATAAGTAGAACAACAAACTGATGTTTCTCTCTCTCTCTCTCTCTCTCTCTTCCCCTTCCTCTCTGTCTCTAAAAAAACAAATCAATAAAACAATTTCTAAAAAAATTAAAGGCATTGTTATTTCATTTTTAAAACATAGAGAAGGGTTGGACATACGTAGGCAGAGAAAAGCTCATGGAGAGAATGGCTCAGGATAATCAATGCATGGCCCAGAGCAGGTGCTCAGAAAGTGTCCACAGGTGAATGTGTAGGAGGAGAGGAGAGAAAACACACTGGGGCGGGGGCATGACTACAAGTGCAAGCTCGGACAAGATGCATTTTTACTGCTTCATTTTAAAGTGAGCACTGAGGCCCCCCTCTCTGAAAGGACATCAGGTCCGTCCACCTAGCTCCTGTCAAGCCACGTTTTCATTCTAGTCCTTTCGTCTCTCCTCCTGTTCCCACTGATGTGATGGAAACTTCCAGCCCACTCTTCTACACTGTGTCTGGAGAAGGTACACGCATGTCACTGCCTCCTCCTCCACTTCCCCACTGGTCCTTTCCCTTATTTTAAAGACCAACTCAGGCCCTGGCCAGTTTGGCTCAGCGGCAGAGTGTTGGCCCACAGGCCAATGAGTCTTGGGTTCAATTCCGACCAAGGGCCCAGACCTCGGTTTGTCCCCCGATGCTGGTTGGGGTAGTGGGGGAGGCAACCAGTCAGTGTGTCCCTCTGGTGTCAATGTTTCTCTCTTTCTCCCTTTCTCTCCCTCCCACTCTATCTGAAGATAAATGGGAAAATATCCTCGGGTGAGGATTAATAAAAATAAATTATAAAAAAATAAAGACCAACTCAGCGGCATAATAGGTGGTTTTCACTATCTAATTCTTTTGTTTTCAATGTCAAGTCATTATCATTTACCTGATTATGAAAGCAATACAGCCCTGGATGGTGTGGCTCAGTAGACTAAGTGTCATCCCACGAACTGAGAGGTCCCAGTTAAATTCCAGTCAGGGCATATGCCCTGGTTACAGGCTCAATCCCCAGTAGGGGGTGTGCAGAAGAGGCAGCCAATCAATGTTTCTCTCTTTCCCTCTCCCTTTCTCTCCCTCTAAAAATCCATTAAAATCCATTAAAATCATCCTGACCTGTCTGTCTCAGTGGTAGGAGCATCGGCCTGCGGACCAGAGAGACCTGGGTTCGGTTCCCACTAAGGGCGCGTACCTCGGTTGCAGTTTGTCCCCGGCCCTGGTTGGGGTTGTGTGGTGGCGGCCACTCGATGTGTCTCTCTCACATTGATGTTTCTCTCTCTCTCTCTCTTCCTTCCTCCCACTCTACCTCAAGATAAATGAAAAAAAAAAACCAGATGTCCTCGGTGAGAATAAAAAATTTTTAAAAATCAATTAAAATAAAAAAGCAATACAAACCTCATCAAAATGATAAATTATATGGATGTTTAAATCAGAAAGGGAATGAATGACATAAAACTCAGTAGCATATAAAGAATTAAATAAAAACCCAAGGACAGCAGTATTCTAGGATCAGGGTACAGGTTCCTGAATTTCTGCATCATAACCTTAGTCAGGACTTCTTATCAGGCCTTAGTTTATCCAGCAACAAAATGTTGTCAGTAATAACTTTCAAGGTAATAAGAGAGTGGCTTCAACGAGCTACATAGTAAACCTCACATAAAATGTTATGTCAGGTCAAAGCAAGGGTTTGTTTGGCTACAGCTGACAGTAATTAGTTAACAATGCATCACTTTCCCACTCAACCATATTTTATTTCCTCTTTCAAATCACATCAAGCTTTAATAATAAAACTTTTAAAGAGAATAAATTAAGATATATGTTGGAAAAGGTTCATGTTGTACCAGTATTTAAATAATAAAAATCCTCTCAGCTCTGTTAGAGTTTAAGCACTCTTAAAACGTGACACTTGTAAAAACACTAGAAGAGGACCTGTTCCAAGGACAGGTGAAATTACAAAAATAGTATTTGAAAGTTCTTAATTAAAACGCTTGGTCAACCCTGGCCAGTCTGGCTCAGCGATTAGAGCGTCGGCCTGCGGTCCAGAGAGACCCG